TGGAAGAGGAAAAACAGAGGTTGGTTGTGTTGTTTGCATATAGAGAATCTCTCATTAAAGTGAGATGAACAATCATTTAGCAGATTTCTTCTGGCAAAGATTGCAGGTGCCCAGTGCTCTGTGCTGGTTTTGGGGGATCCCCAGCACAGACAGGCACTGAGGCTGGGGAGGAAATCCCCCCGTGGTTGGTAGGGGAACTGAGACAGGGAAAAGGGATGTGACTTGTGTGGGAATCAGATGGTGAGAAAAGGGAAACAGGGGTCAGCAAAATCTCTTCCTCCCCCCACACACCCTGCCACAGGGTGTTTGCCTCCCTCAGCTCTCCAGGCTGATTCCAGCAGACCCCTAGGATGGTGTTGAGGTAATTACCTGGACCGGGTCTAGCCATAATTCAGGATTTTCTATGTCCACAACCAGTTTTATCATGGGGAAATAAGGAATTGTGCATCAAACTGGCTGAGCTCCAGCTAAAAGTCTCCCTGCCCCATCTCCTCTACAGGTGCAGTAGTATCCCTTCTCCAAATGGGAATTAAGCCCTTACAGGGCCAAATGCTTTCTGGGAATATGCAGATTTTGTTTCACAATATAGAAAGCACTTTTCCAACCGAATTTATTGCCATGTACCGAGTAGGTGCAGTATCTGAGCCTGTATGTATGTATTGATTCCTCCAGCCAGATGTCTAAGCAGGAAAATGAATGGATAGTTAAAATTCACCCAGAACTGACAAAGGGAGATTGTAGTTTGGTTTCTCCCTCCCAGCCTGCAAGCTGTCTGGGATATCTTCTCGGCAGGATTTGATCCTTGATTTATGCCTTGCAAACAGCAGCTGCTGGGCAAGGGGGTCCCTGCTCCTTCCTCACCTCCCCCAGGACCACACACTGCTGGAGGAGGAGTTGGAGGGTTGGCAGGACCTGATGCCTGGCTGGCAGCTGTTGGGAAGCATCATTGATTTGAGGGATATTTCCTGGTGCCATTGACTTCACCTTTGGGGCAAGCCAGGGTGGAAATTCCAGCTGGGCATCAGCCCTGGGGGATATAATGTTTGGCTGTTGTTTCTGTAGCTTTACTTCTTGGCTGAGCACCTCCAAAGGGGGTTTGGAGCACTGAGACCTCCTAGGGTTCAACCCTGCAGGGCCCAAAAACCTGTGCCATGAGGTGGTGGTGGTGGTGGAGCAGCCACTGCCTGAACTGCCTTTTCCTAAGGGATGTGCTCAGGGCTGTTGTAGAATTGGGCCGGGTGTGGGGTGCCCCAGCCACTGCCTGAACTGCCTTTTCCTAAGGGATGTGCTCAGGGCTGTTGTAGAATTGGGCCAAAACATTCTTTTCTGTTGAGAACTCTGTTTTGCTCTGCACTGGGTGTGAGGCAAGCTCCAGGCCACCCTGTCACAGTGGAGATCCAGAGAATCACAGAATATCCTGAGCTGGAAAAGGACCCACAAGGATCACTGCAGTTCAAGCTTGGCTTCATGCCTGCCCCAGCCTTTCCACCAGCTTCCACTTCTCCATCCTGGAGAAACTGAACCTTTTCAGAGCCTGAAGACTCAGGGCTAAGTGGGGACAAGTCAGAGGTGCAGATGCACCTGACTGGGAGTTGTGTCACCTCTCAGCTGTCATTTTTCATGGGTATTTTGACAGGAAACCTAAGAGGTGAGGGTTGGTGTCTAGGCTCAGCTGAGTTACAGAACACAGGGCCGGTGCTTTAGGCTCTCTGGTTTTATTTGGGAGCAGCAGAAGGCAATGTGCAGCGAAGCAAGAAGCAGAGGGAGCAGACAGGTTGCAGGGGGAGCCAGAGCCAGGGGTCGATGTGTGCGGGCACAGAGGCTCACGCTGGTTCCCATCTCGCCCCTCGCAGAGACGAGGAGCAGGTGTCCACCCCTCCCTCCCTTGTTTTGCTGTGCTGAGACATCTCATCCGCGCTGCTCCCTCTCCTCCCACCCGGGCGAGAGTGTCGCAACTCCACCGGAGGCTTGTTGTCCTCTCCTCGGAGCCAAGAAACCCCGAGGAGAACACTCGCCAGGGTTGGGAAGCTCTGCCGACGCCTTCCCTTGACGGATCAACCCGGAGGAGGTGGTTTAGCAAGGTGATTTTTTGCTTCAACACCTGCCGGCAGGTCCCCGGCACTTGGTGCGGCGCCGGAGCATCCCCCGGGAGCGCAGACGGCAGAGCCGCGCGGCTCTCTCGCACCTGCAGGCTCCTCTCTGGCACCACGTCCCCGACCCTGCGGGCACCGGGGCACACCTGAGACCCTCCCCTCGGGAATGTGCCCCGCAGAAGGGCCCTGGGAAGGAGGGAGAGGGGCTGGGGAGGGCAGGCGGGAGGACTCACTGCAGGTGGGGATTCCTGCCTGGGTTGTGGAGAGAGGTTGGGCAGCTCCCACTCGGCAGCGCCGAGCTGCCAGCCTGGCATAGCAGCAGGCACGGAGCAGGCAGCACCTGGGTGGAGAGGGAGAGCCTGGGCAGGTCTAGAATGTGGCACCGGCTGCTTTAGACCTGCCTGGCACAGGCTCTGTGAGCTGGGCAGGAAGAGCCACCAGCTTTGCATCATCTTCTTGTGCTGAATCAATTCCCTCAGAAGCTGCTCTTTCCAGCCTGTTCCCTCTGCTTCCCAAAGCACCCTCTGCCCAGCAGCTTGGCTTCAGGAGCATCCCTCTCCACTGGTGCCATCCCTCTGCCCAGCAGCTTTGCTTGAGGGGCTTCAGGAGCATCCCTCTCCACTGGTGCCATCCCTCTGCCCAGCAGCTTGGCTTCAGGATCGTCCCATCCCTCTCGTGCCCTCCCACTGACCACAGTTGTTTCTGGCACCACCTTACTGACTCCAGGGCTGGAGCTGGGGGTGAATACCACCTTACCTTCCCCCCCTTCCCAAAAATCTGTTCCCTTCCTGCTGCTGCCCACGGCCTTGTCTGCATTTTGCAAAGCCTCAAGGAGGCTGCTGGGGTTGTGCACAAGCCCTGGGGCCAGCATTAGCCCTCTGGGGCCAGTGTTAGCCCTCCAGGGCAGTGTTGCCTGTACCGGTCCATCGAAGCCCTCGAGGTGCCCCATCCCGAGCGACATCCGTGGGCAGTCAGATTTCCCACAGTGCTGCCCTCGAGTCCTGGTGTGTAGGTGCGTGGGTGCTTCCCATGAGCTGTGAGCACACCTAAAGTGACCAAAGAATGGGATATTTTGTGAGTTATATGCAGAGATGAGGCTTGGGGAACTGGAGAGGGGAGGAGGCTTTGTTGGGAGTCTCCCTGAGGAGCACACAGGGGTTTGGGGATGTGCATCAGTGTGGGGCTGTGGCCTGGGATGCACTTACTGCAGGCAAAAAGCATCATCAGTGCTAGCAGGACCTTCATCTTCCTCTCACCCAGGCCTGGGAGGAGAAACAGAGGAGAGGCTCAGCCAGGCACTGCAGCTGATCAACACATGTTGACATGCAAACGTTTTTCTCTGAAATCTGGTCAAATCACACCAACATTTCGAGAGAGAAAGACAGCTGTGCTCCCTTGCACCTGTGTTGCTGCCTCTTGGCTGACAGCAAGTGGTTTCTGAGGCTGTTATACCACCCCAGCACCTCCCACCTCCTGTCCCACCACCCCAGCACCTCCTACCTCCTCTCCCACCACCTGAGCATCTCCCACCTCCTGTCCCACCATTCCAGCACCTCCCACCTCCTGTCCCACCATTCCAGCACCTCCCACCTCCTGTCCCACCACCCCAGCACCTCCCACCTCCTGTCCCACCACCCCAGCACCTCCCACCTCCTGTCCCATCATCCCAGCACCTGTCCCACCACTTTTGGCACCCAGTGCACCTCTCCCCCTGTGCCCCAACCTCCCAGCTGAGTTTCTGTCTGGAAGCAATGACACTTTACCCCACAGAAGGCAATGTCCCTGCTGCCTCCCCCCAACACCCCCATATTGTTGTTCCCACAGCAGTGGGGTGAAGTGGGGAGCTGCTCACCGGGGAATCTTCCTTGCTATCAGTCTGTCCTCCCTGGGAAAGCCTTCCCTCCGTGTCCAGCCCGTGAGCTCCGAGCTGGAAGCACTGAAATGACTGTTCTATCCCAAACTCTCTCTGTGCTACGCCCCTTCCCTCCCCAGCCAACCCCCCTCTCCCCATGGGCTGCAGCCTGGAGTGACGCAGGGGCTGAGACCAAGTTCTTGGAAAGTTTTGGGAAGATGTTGATTATTTACAGGGATTTGTCTCCCTGCCCAGCAGCAGCTCTCAGCAGATTGGGGTGGTTTAAGCACGTTGTTTATTTTCACATCACTTCCATTTACAGCAGCATTAATGCAGCTCAGACAGGGATGCAGGGTGATCTCGATGCTGACCAGTGTATGCTCCAGCCCCACATCCAGCTCCTATCGCCGGCACCGGAGCTTTGGATAGAACTGGAAGTGTTTCCTGTAGTTCCTGATGTTTCTCTTCAGGCACAGTGCCAGGGTGCAATCACACTCGCAGGAGTGCTGGTTGCACCAGGAATCATTTTCTGTGGGAAGAGAGGAGCCCAGGGTCACCCTCAGCTTTAGGAGGAGGGTGACACCCCCTTTTCCAGGTCCTACTCACTGCAGAAGGGTCTGCCTTGGTGCCAGCTGTAGCTGTAGTGCTCTTTCTTGGCATTACAGCGATAGCTCTCGAGGTTGTCGTAGCAGGTATCGTGCTGCTGGCAGCATCTGCACAGGAGATTAAGGCTTTGGAAGTTGGGGTTTTCATAGAATCAACAGGGTTGGAAA